CTTCCTCCTGTGGCTCCCAACAGGATGTTTAGGGTTGTGGATGTAGCATCAGTTCACTGCCTCCTCTAAGATCAGGAACTGAGCAATCAAAGACCACTGATTACTCAGTTCTTGGTCTTCAGTGAGCAGAGAGGCAGTGATTGTCAGTCGCCAGCTCTCTGCTCTGCCCCTTCAGTGCTCAGAGGAGGGCTGAACTGTGGAGGGGGTGAGAGCGACTGGCTCAACCTCTCAGTGGCTCACTGAGAGGCTGAGCCAGCTACCAGTCATGAATCTGTGTGGATCCCAACTTTAAAGACAGGATTTCTCCAAAGCCAGGACTGACTAAAGCTGGCTGTCAGTAGAATATAGGTCACAAGAGTACAGAACAAAGTGCACTCCTGTGATCCCCAGAAGAAGTAGGGCCAAGAGCTTTGGCCCTTCTTTTCCTTTAATGTTTGTGGACAGTAAAGCCTCAGTTTATATAGCAGTGACATGGCCTTCCAGCGACCACACCATGGCCTTAAAAAGAGAAAACACCACATTTAGGTAGAATTCCAGATAAAGCTTAACTAGTCTTTTAAATGCTCCCTCTCTCCTAATACCCATACTAACAAACCTGTATAAAAAGGATGTATATATTTACCTATGTTGAGCTCACTCCATTCCGTCATATAATCTGGCTCCCCCTGTGTCAGCCTGCAGAAGTTGCATGGGAGAGGAGGGACCACTTCAGGAGAGACAATGGCTTGAGGCACTGCAGGTTCACATTGCAGCATGCATTATTTTTTAATGGGATGTAAAATGGAGGCCATGGTATTAAATAATACTGCACTGTCCAGCAGACAGCAGATATCTCTCCACTCTAAATTAGCCCCTTGGGAGGGGAGATTATCCAACTGTTGTCCACCCAGTCTAGAATGTAGCTTTTCACATGCAGAAATTGTGGTGTGGCACTGGAACTCACAATTAGTTGGTCTACTCTGACGTTTAGTTTCTCCCTGGTTGTTTCTAATCTGACATGCAACCAGACCTCTAACTACCAGAAGTGGCTGTCGAATGCTTAACCAAGCTCTAGCCCAGTGGTCGGCAAGCCGCGGCTCGCGAGCCACATGCGGCTCTTTACACACTTCAATGCGGCTCTTCTGTGTGCCGGGCGCCCGCTCCCCTCCCTCCTCTCGGGCGGCCGCCCCAAAAGTCAGGACTCTGCAGCTAGCCCAGCAATGGGCAAACTGCAGGTTTAATCCGGCCCACGGAGCGTGGCAAACATTGGCTGTCAGGATGTAGGCGGGGCAGCGTGACGAACTCCTCTCCTCTCACAGTCCGCCCTGAAGACCGGAACGGCGCAGGAACACGGCAAGAGGAACGGGCAGAGCAAAGGTAAGTGAATTGACACAATATGGGGAATGAATTACTATAGGGGGGATGAATTACTATGGGGGGGATGAATTACTATATGGGGAATGAATTACTATAGGGGGGATGAATTGCTATATGGGGGATGAATTACTATGGGGGATGAATTACTATAGGGGGGATGAATTACTATATGGGGGATGAATTACTATGGGGGATGAATTACTATATGGGGGATGAATTACTATGGGGGATGAATTACTATATGGGGGATTAATTACTATGGGGGATGAATTACTATATGGGGGATTAATTACTATGGGGGATGAATTACTATGGGGGATGAATTACTATATGGGGGATGAATTACTATAGGGAGATGAATTACTATATGGGGGATGAATTACTATGGGGGATGAATTACTATATGGGGATGAATTACTATGGGGGATGAATTACTATATGGGGGATGAATTACTATGGGGGATGAATTACTATATGGGGGATGAATTACTATGGGGGATGAATTACTATGGGGGATGAATTACTATATGGGGATGAATTACTATGGGGGATGAATTACTATATGGGGGATGAATTACTATGGGGGATGAATTACTATATGGGGATGAATTACTATGGGGGATGAATTACTATATGGGGGATGAATTACTATGGGGGATGAATTACTATATGGGGGATGAATTACTATGGGGGATGAATTACTATGGGGGATGAATTACTCTATGGGGGATGAATTACTATATGGGGGATGAATTACTATGGGGGATGAATTACTATATGGGGGATGTATTTTCAGTTTTAAAAATGTGGCTCTCAAAATACATTTCAATCGTGGTTTTGGCGAGATTTGGCTCAGTTGAAAAAAAAGGTTGCCCACCACTGCTCTAGCCTATGCTTTCTATTGAGCTGTAAGCTAAAACTAGCTTTATAATCCCAGACCAGAAGAAACCGGGTTAACTAAAATAAGAGGAACTGCATATAAACCCGATTGCAATAAACAGATTCACCTATTAATATACTGGAAAGTGACCACTACACACATACAGTAGCTATCTGGCAATGTGCATGTGAGATAATAACAATAGGACAGAAACTTGTCTATCACTAAGATTCAAATCAAGACATTATGGGCAGCTGCAGTTAAACGGCCAGAACACAGGAACAATTTCTTAATAGTCTCTGCTTCTGATCTGAGTGAATATATAGTATTGCAGTAATGTAGTAATGTCAGCTACTCTCTCTCTCGACTTCTTCCTTCTGGGTTTTTTTTTAAGCCATCCCCCCAGAGACAGAAAGTGTTAATACATAATTTTACATAACACTGTGATATTAGCAGCTAACAGTAGAGGGCAGCAGATCCCTACACCCCTATGAAAGTATTATGGCTAAACACCTGTTTATTATGATTAAACATAGTTTTGCAGTATGGCTGTCACCACTGGATGCACAGGAATTCAAGCAAGGCTATCTTTAAATTGCAACATATATAGAAAGAAAATCTCTGAGTTTGATGTTATATTTACTAAAAGTAAATTAAAAATAAATTCAAGTAAATTAAGCTTGTGAGACATGGGTTTACATCTCCAAGTGCTGTATGATATATGCCAAACCATGTCTAACGCATAAGGATGAAGAACATAGCTAGAGAATTGGTGTGTTGTGCTGATAAGAGGAGCAGAACTTCTCCCTATTGTGCCGTACCGCATACCCTTAACTCAGGTGGTCTGCCACAGCTGTTTAGTTAACGTTGAAGTTAAACGTTTAGTTAACGTTAAAGTTGATGTAGTGTAAAGCCAACAATAGGAAGCACAGCATACTGCCATCTGTGAGCTCAGTTCTGATAACAACTGGTCAAGGTGCATTAGAAATAATGGGCACAGTTGTACCTAACACTGAGAAAGTTTAATCCTCTTATACAAATGTATAATGCTGTTTGAATCCAACTTTACTATTAATTTGTCATGATTATCCTTGAAAAAATCCTACCTTGCTGTAAATAAAAACAGAAGTGAGAAATCATTCATGTTTTATTTATTTACAAGATCCCATTAAACAATGCAGCTACTTAGCACAGCACATTTTAGACATTATGTACAGAGTGATGCTGAGCCACATACAAGCACACCTTGCTTTGTTACAGCTAAAGACCCTTATACAAAGAGTTAGAATTATGCCTTGTAATCCTGTTGTAGCTGACAAATTGACCTAGAACAATATATCGAGTGGTGTTGGATACCTGAGCAGACAATAAAGTCTTTAAATTTGAACAGATTATAGAGCTTCAGTGAAGTGTCACATTTCACCTAGTTTCTGTACATGTTAGATTTTCTGAATGGAGATTTACATGAAAATTGCCTACAATAAAAAAAAATATATATATAATTTTTGGAATTATAGATGTAGTTCAAACCCAGAGATATTCTATTGCACATTCCTGCTGTTAGTAGTATATTTATTTTAACAGGAAATGAAAACAAAATTTTTCATTAGCTTTTATTATTTTCAGTCTATATTCTAGACCATTTTTGTAAAACAAAATATTAAACACATTCTTGCAAATTGCTGGATCTCCTGCAGACACAAGGCTGCATGCAAAATGTATTTTTAAATAATGGATTAAATGATTATCAAAGTCAGCATTAATACTTGATGCTTTCAAGGACTTAAAATTACCTCTTGCGACCAAATGAAAATCTCTTCGTTTAAAGACGGATTATGATAAATTAAAAAGACATAAACAGCACAGGCAATGTGTCAATGTTTGTCCTCTGTAGTATCAGTGCATGCAGATGCGTTATTTTTTTATTCTCGGTTACAATACAGCTAATCATGTTTAGTGTTCACTAGCTGGCAGAAACCTTTTTGTATTATGAAAATACGTTTTAAACATAAGCTTCCATTGTTTAAAATAGTTTGGGTTTATTTACAATTATTAAGCCTTTGCATTGCATTTACATCACAATATACTGTACAATGTTAATATGTGGGGGCACAGTTTGGTCTTTCATACAATGACTGTATATGTTTAAAACCTTTAGTCAAAATAAAAAGAGAACCCTCATAAAGTATTAATATATGTGCTTCACCTTCAACATTTACTGTAGCATTTATACGGAAATTGTAACTGTTGTTCATGGGATCTTTGGTGGGAATGGTAAAAAAGGAGACCGGTATCATTTAACTATATATTGTGTTTTCATGACTTTGTATCTTTCTTATTGAAAGTACATAATGTTTTTTTTTCCTTACAGGCTTCACATTTAACCTGTTTAATAGCACAGTGTCCCTCTGCTTCTAACAGAGTTTATTCCAGCCGCAGCCCCTTTTTTGCTAGCTAGACAATAAACCAAAAAAATGGGGCTCCTTTTTTTGTTTGCTTTAAAACAGAACTGATTATTTGTATTCTTTTAAAGCGCACTGAATTGAGTCAAGGCTGCATTTATCCTTCCATGCCTCCTGAGCACAAGGAAAGGATTCATGCTGCTTTGGAGTGCCAGGGATAAAAAAAGAACGCTATTACAGTAATTATTTGTTATTATTTAATGTCTAGTCCGGGAGGCATTCTCCATCTTTGAATGTTTGACACATTTTGCGTGAACATCTGTTGTTGATTCATGTTTCTGGTGTTATTAATCTTCTTGTAGGTAAGCAGGTGATTCACCCAAGCCAGATTCCTATTGTCCAGGAGCAGTTTACTCCGAGTGCTGACAAAATAAAATGGGCCCAGGAATTGATTTCTGCTTTCGAAGAGCACCAAAGATTAGGAAAGGTAAAAAAAAAAAAATAGTCCAGTGTCTCACCATCTTTACTTACTACATGTGATTTGTATAAGTGATAAAGTTTTGTTTTTTGTTTTAGTACGTACCATAGTTTTTTGGGTTTTTTTTTTTTTTGGGCTAGCTTTATGTGTTAATAGAAAACCCCCCAATGTCTCCCATCTTTTGACATTTTTTAACCTTAGCTAACTTTGGTTTAGCAGTTTCTTTGATACTTATCATTTCTCCTTTCCACATCCTTTTTCCATTTTTTCTATTTTCTGGTTTGGAAACTTTCCACATATCCATAGTAAACACAAAGAGTAGATTTCTATTTAAGGCTTACTTGTCGAGCAGGAGGCATGTGCGGTTCCTAACCAAAATTAGCCGTGTATTCAACTTGTAAAATTCTAATCAAGTCAGATTGAAGTCAGATTGAAGAAAAGAACATTTGAGATGGTTAGCAGTATTAATCCTGTGTTATGCCAGGTCAGGATTTGATGGCCGTATAATTCTTTTTAATTGTAATAATTAAGAAATAACTCTGTGTGGAATATCAGTTTGGAAGTCAAAGATTTGGATATATACAAGGAAGCAAATTAACACTGGAAAATGGTTGTTGCTAATTTACTGCATCATTGAGCCTCACGTTTTCTGCACTGTGGGTTTCTGCTATGTAAATATTGCAGTAGTGAAGCACAATCTGTCGCCACTTTGTGCCAGTAACACTTAAATTAGGAGTCGCCTGAAGGAAGTTTTTATGCCAGTTTTAGCATTGTCTACTAATTATCTCTTAGTTTATTTGAAATAATCCCGTTTGCTACCCTCTACAAAACAAGAAAAATGCCATATTTTTTTTTAAATGCACTATGGACATCATAGTGTACCTTACCTCATACCTTAAATCGTTTAAACAGAAATTGCTCAGAATTGTGTATCATCATGCTGTGTATAGTAATTAGTTGCATATGGGGTCTGATTTGCAAAGAGTACACTCAAAAGACTGTCTAGTTGTCCCAGATAACAATCCTGTTTTTCACAAAGCTTAAGTGCACTTTTTTATTTTACAATTTTCTATCATTTCAAAAGAATCACAATTTAGTCTACATGTGTAATTTCCTCTTGCACAATACATCAACTCTTTGCATGCACAGTAGTGGGTTGCTATAAAAATAAGAATACACTGCAGAATTCACTCCAGCTAGGCTGCCTGCGCATTGGCATAAGATTCGAATACAACGTCAATCACTGCAGCATATAGAACCCAAATAAAGCAAAAGGAGAGATGCCGCATGGGGGACACACTTGAGGACAAAAGGTTAAGAGTTAGGAGTTGCATGGCTATTAAGATGTTCTGTATACTAAAATTGTACATGATCATGTAAAGCTATTGGGTATACTGGGAAACTGTCTTCTATTTAGGTAGAGCCTCACTGTTCAAAAACTAAGCAGCCTAGCCACAAAAAATACTGTCAGCTTGCTGCTTACATATCGGTGTCTGGTATTTACTTCAGAACCTAATGCTAATCACATTTTGGATTTTTGGATTACATTGCTTTTATACAACACTGGAATAAAACAGGCCCTGTAAAAAGCTAATTGTTCCATCAACCAATCATTGCTCCAATAAAGTTCCATAGACTGTTTTTTATGTTTCGTTTTGTTTTTTTGTTAGTCATGCATTATCTGAACAAAGATTAAAATAATGTGTGCATAATTCAAAAATAAACAAGTATAAAAATATGTACCAAATCTATCGATTCTAACAAAAAAATAAAGTATAACACATATATTTACTTCCTACTTTTATTAAAAAAAAAAAACACTGTGAACATGTTAACTCTTGATACTCTGCAGAGGTAAACAATGACATTTTTAGATCAACCTGTAGGCATCTGTCTGCCTGATATCATAATATGCAATCTGAATTGAAGGTAGAAAGAGTATCAAAACACTTGCCTTAAAAATAGCTTGAACAATTCCCAGGGCTGCTAAAAAAAAATATGTTCAATTAGATTATACCTTATAGAAGGAAATCTATTCTGACAGACCGGTCTGTTTCTATTGTAGGTTTATCATGTTTAAATAGAATCTCAGTAGTCCAAGGAAATATTTGAATAGTTATATATTTAGTTAGGTTGAGAAAAGACACATGTCCATTAAGTTCAAATAACAGCAAAAGAAATATTAATAAAAAACTGCATCCTTATTTATAGCAATACGCTTAGCCATCACCAGAAAATGGAAGTATGAACACCCTCCTAATATACAAGAAACGATTGTTATTTTAAACCATCGCTGCCAACTTGAACATGCCTTTGCCAGGGCACATTTACAACTACCTAAATTTCTAAGCAATTGGAGTTCTTAGATACAAGACCCTAAAAGCCCCAATAACCTATCTTAATATATATAATTATAGATAAACTATACCTCCCCACAAGATATCAAGGACAGTGATGCATGCCTCTTGGACCGTTAGGCCACATAATGATAACCTTCCTATTCCTTCACTACTAATTATCTTACTACTCCTTTATTACATATATCCACACTTAATACGATACATCTTGAATTCATATACAACTAATGATATATTGTACTTTCTTTCAGAATCATCATTGTGACAATTTATGTTTTTCTTTTTCTCTCTGATGACTGTATTGCTGTTTAAACTGCACTTTTTATTTTTCTTGTTACACCTGGACCATCGGACCACCAAAATTTCACTAAAAATTAAGTTTAAAAAAAAAAAACCTGCATCCTCAAGGCCTTAAAACTGCAGATGATCAAAGAGAAAACATGGGCCAAACAGTTCTATCATGAAAGAAACACATTCTATCATGATTTACTGAGGCAATCACATACTCCTTGGATCAACAATTTATGGCGTTATTTCTTATAAATATTAATAGCAGTTTTATTTTGTGCTATTAGAAAGACCTCCATTCTTTTAAAAGCAAGCTACCAAGCTTGCCAGAACTATCTAAGTCTTTTCAACAATGTTACAGCTGTTACTGTAAAGAAGCCTTTCTATTTGCAGAGATTAAAACTCTTTTGCTCCAGGTGAAGTGAGCATCCCCTTGTCATTTTAAATTACTGTAAATTAAAACAGTGTTTACTGCAGCAATATTTAAACAATTGTGCATTCACATTTTTTTTACTATCTGCCAAGCTTAAAGCAGAAGTATAGCCAAAGCTTTTTGTTTTTCTTCTCTTGTGGGTCATAGGAGTCCTTACTTGTGCTCTCCTGTGACCCAGATTTAGCTGACAGCCATTGTTGGCTGACATCTCATAGCTGCTTCAGGAGTCTAAGCCAGCTGCTACCCCTCCCCTTTCCAGCCCAGTGCTCCAGTGAGCATTGGAAGGGAAGAGAGCGGGGACTAATAGTCACCTCTCTCTGCTCAGAACAGACTGAGAACTGAGTGATCAGGGGTCACATGATCGCTCATTTCTCAGGCTTAGAGCTGGTGGGGGACAGTTGTACCATCAGACTGATGCTTCAGCAGTGAGGTGAGTGTAGCTGTCTGTTTTTTTTTAATTCCCACGCTTCACATTTAAATCATCTTTAGAACATTCATATATGTTCATACATGTTTAAAGTAAATCTGTACTGAATGAATCATGTAACCTACCATTACTGACCTTCTTCCAAAAAAGCCAGTTGCCTGACTGTCTCTTGTTTTAGTACTTTCAGAGTCATTAACCTGGAACAAACAGGCAGCAATAAGGGTAGGCTGCTTATTTCGCTTACTACATGTTAACTCTTTTATGCTTTTATGACTCTTTTTTTTTTTTCCTTTAGGTTTAAATGCCCAAAGCCAGTGTAGCAGCATCAGTGGGTGTTAGTCAACTTGACAATAACTCTATGACTATGTTTGCAGTTTTTCATTAGTACTAATATATTCTTAGACAATTAAAAAAATTAAAAGGGGCTTTAGGAACCTCCATATATCACTAAAGTAGATTGATTTCTAGCAACCAAAACTCCATTATAAAGAAGATGAGTACAGCATAATTATTTGTACAGTTGTAGCAGGGCTTTGCTTCCTCATGTCATAATCTCAAGCAAGTAGAACACTGAGCAGCACAGAAGTGACATCACCAAATCTACTGAGACTAGCATTCAGAGACAGCAGTGCCTTGGATCTCATATTGCAGATATAAAATTGTACCTAGCAATCTTCTTGTGCCAGAAAGTGCACTGCTATTTTTCAGAAAGACTTCAAGACAATAGGTAGATTTTTCAGAGAACTGCTTAGAACAATTAGCATTTCTAAATATATAACAGAACTTAGAAAAGTTTTACTTCACAGTTCAGGTCCACTATGCGTGCTTATTAGATCATAACCGTTATATTGAAATAAGTGTGGGAAGCCCTGTTAATGACATGTGGAATTAATATAGCTTAGAGATTGTTTTGTAAAGATGGATGGATTGTGCAGTAGTCCAAACTTTGTGAATTTGATGGTTATCATTGGTAGATTTCAGGCATTTTTAAATAAATGTCCTTTAAGACTGGCATGATGAGTCTCAATAAATATTTTGTTGTCAAATTGCTCAAGAGAATAAAACGTTATACACGGGACAATTTACAATGATCAAATGTTGACAGTGGATCACTGATTGAAATGCTGAGTAAACACTCCACTTATTAAACTCGGTTAGCCAGTATCCACCGTCTGCAGTAGGCAAAAATATCGCTCACAGCACCTCTTCATCTACTGACATATAGGGATTGATTTACAAAAAGCAGATAGGCTTTTCAATTTGCAAGGGAATATTCCCTAGCTTAGTGAATTTGGTGTAAATACTTTGCAATGGATCACAAGCAAAGAAAAAAACTGTATTTTTGCAAATTATTGGCTGATGGAAGTCAACAGAACTTCACTCACACCTCACTCTCTAAGCTAAGGAAAGCTTCCTTTGCAAAGTGAAGGGTTTTTTTGTCTTTAGTAAATCAACCCCACAATATGGAGCTAGACCAAAGCTATTGTTTTTGCCACTGATTTCT